TGTATAATTTGAAACTGTCCTTCCTAATCTCTTCAATGATTCTTTTTTCTTAATTCTGTATTATACCCAGGTGCTATAATCTCTCACCTAAATTCCTTAGCTCTTATGAAGGTATTTTTACACAATGAGTTTTTCAAATTGATGTTTCTGCAAAATGATGAGCACAAACAATCCTATTCTGCCATCTTGCTGACATCACTAGGCTACATTTTTTTATTATTATTATACCTTAAGTTCTGAGGTACATGTGCAGAATGTGCAGGTTTGTTACATAGGTATACACATGTCATGGTGGTTTGCTGCACCCATCAACCCGTCATCTACATTAGGTATGTCTCCTAATGCTATCCCTCCCCAGCCACACACCCCTTGACAGGCCCCTGTGTGTGATGTTCCCCTTCCTGTGTCCATGTGTTCTCACTGTTCAGCTCCCACTTATGAATGAGAACATGCAGTGTTTGGTTTTCTGTTCTTGTGTAAGTTGGCTGGGAATGATGGTTTCCGGCTTCATCCATGTTCCTGCAAAGGACAAGAACTCATGCATTTTTATGGCTGCATAGTATTCCATGGTGTATATGTGCCACATTTTCTTTATCCAGTCTATCATTCATGGACATTTGGGTTGGTTCCAAGTTTTTGCTATTGTAAATAATGCCACAATAAACATATGTGTGCATGTGTCTTTATAGTAGAATGATTTATAATCCTTTGGGTATATACCCAGAAATGGGATTGCTGAGTTAAATGGTATTTCTGGTTCTAGATCCTTGAGGAATCGCCACACTGTCTTCCACAATGGTTGAACTAATTTACACTCTTACCAATAGTGTAAAAGCATTCCTGTTTCTCCACATCCTCTCCAACATCTATTGTTTCCTGACTTTTTAATGATCGCCATTCTGACTGGCATGAGACGGCATCTCATTGTGGTTTTGATTTGCATTTTTCTAATGACCAGTGATGATGAACTTTTTTTCATGTTTGTTGGCTGCATAAATATCTTCTTTTGAGAAGTGTCTGTTCATATCCTTCACTCACTTTTTGATGGGGTTGATTTTAATTGGATTTAAAATCTCTCTCAAATATAAGGAGGTTCTTATATTTTGGTAGTTCAAGTAAAAAAATCTATGAGTTGGCCGGGCGCGGCGGCTCAAGCCTGTAATCCCAGCACCTTGGAGCCGAGGCCGGGTGGTCACGAAGGTCAGGAGATGCGAAGAGTATCCTGGCCTAACATGTGTATAAACCCCGTCTCTACTAAAAAATACAAAAAATTAGCCGGCGTGGTGGCGGCGCCTGTAGTCTCAGCTTATTGGGAGGCTGAGGCAGGAAATGGCGTGAACCCGGGAGGCGGAGCTTGCCAGTGAGCCGAGATCACGCCACTGCACTCCAGCCTGGGAGACACAGCGAGACTCCGTCTCAAAAAAAAAAAAAAAAAAAGAAAAAAAAAAAAAAAAAAAAAACTATGAGTTAATTTAAGAATAGAAACACAATGTAACTGAACTGCAAAGAAATTTTAAAACCTTACATCTTAGGCTAAACTAAGAAAAATTTCATGTTCATATCAGTATGAAATATTCTGATCAGTTATTGATAACATAGAAGGGCTTCTAAACACTATTCATCATTCAAAGAAAGTGAGAAAGATTGTAAGAGACTTGGAAATCAAATTACTAAAGGAACTATTAGGAGACCATTTAGAAACTTTTTTTCCTAGAAAATAAAAAATCTTTGAGGTGTAGAGGATTTCTGAAAATCTTTTTAAATATTTTAAGTACCACTATATGGAAGAGAGAATATAAATTTTTCCTACTACAAAGAACAGAACTATGGCCAAAGATAGGATATTCATAATTAAAGAAATTGTCTCATAAGGTTGAACTTTCTAGTAATTTGAGTTGCGTCAAAATGGAATAGTCTTCCTGTGTACAAGTAGCGACGTCTTTGTCCCTGAAAGTTTTTTAGCATAAGCCCAGTCTCCATCTGCTAAGAACAGGATGGGGATTAGCGGAAGGAGAAGGGAGTCTAGAGTAGGAAAGAGGTTCTCTTGTATGAGCATCTAATTTTAGACCGAAAAATCCGCCAATTTTAAGGTCCTTTCATCCATGTATATTACTCCATATACCAAAAAAAAAAAGAGAGAGAGAGAGATTTCCTAGTAATTAGCCTGATGATGTTCCCACAGTGGAGAAAGTTATATCCAACAATGAAGTCAGCACAAATTGAAACAAAATGGCCCCTGTGAGAATGCTAATTCAATACCTAAATAAAACTGTATAAATTTAAAAGTGCATAGTACTTATTTATTTTATTTTATTTATTTATTTTATTATTATTACTATTTTTTTTTTGAGACAGAGTCTTGCTCTGTCACCCAGGCTAGAGTGCAGTGGTGCGGTCTCGGCTCACTGCAAGCTCTGCCTCCCAGGTTCACGCCATTCTCCTGCCTCAGCCTCCCAGTTAGCTAGGACGACAGGCGCCCGCCTCCACACCCAGCTAATTTTTTGTATTTTTTAGTAGAGACGGGGTTTCACCATGTTAACAGGATGGTCTCGATCTCCTGACCTTGTGATCCGCCCGCCTTGGCCTCCCAAAGTGCTGGGATTACAGGCGGGAGTCACCGCACCCGGCCCATAGTACTTATTTAATAAATTTTTAAGTGATATTTCTTGACAGACAAGATAAATATTTAAGTGCCAACTTTATAACCACAAATCTGTCTAAATATCATAACTTTAGAATAAGATACTTTGCCAATTTATAATGCAAATAAGGTATACAGACATACGCACATCCATGCATGCTTTTTAAGGAATTCCTTCTTAGAGTATATAAATTTGTCTTTATAAGTAAGTGTTTATAGCTGAATTGTACAGTATTGATGTCTTTAAGCTTACTTTTTTCTTTTCCTTGATACTGCTTTTTTTCTTATACTATGATTATTTCATTGCATCAGAAACTAATATGTTTCAAATAGCACAACTAAATTATTTAGATTGTATTGATTATTTAATTTGAAGATGAGGGAGAAATGTTTTCACTCTTTACATAGAAATCAAATTAGTAAAGTCCCAATTAAAATCTATATATTAAAAGAGATTTAAGATTCATATCAACTAATTGCAATAGATGAGTCATAACTGGATCTTATTTAAACAAACTCCAAATATAACAGTACTATGAGAAAATTGAGCTCTGACTAGGTCTTATTTTTTCTTGGCATACTCTTTTGAACTCTTACCTTTTAGGAAAAGAAAATCTACAATATTTAGGAATGAGATTATATAATATCTGGTATTTGCTTCAAAATAATATGTGAATGAAAGAAATGGGGATAGAAATAAAACATGATGAGCAATAACTTGATAATTATTAAAACTAGGATTTAAACATATACAATTATTCATTATACAATTATCTCCATTTTATATATGTCTGATAATTTTCATATTTTACAAATAAAGTCCAATCTCAGTTAGACATTTGTCTCCCAAATTCTTCAACCAGCAACCATCAAACTTTCTTATTTCACCACATTTTTTCCAAACTCCTATATTTTCCCAAGTAAGTCAGCTTTCACCTCACACTTATATTCCTCAAACAGAAAAACAAAAGTCTTACAGCTAACCAGCCCCAGCCTGGAAAGAGCACATTAAAGATTATTATTAATAATTATGCTTAGAGCCTATCCTTTGATATATTGCTTCTCACACTAAAACATATAAACATATAAACATCAGCTAGCCTATGTGTGGTTCTCCTTGTATATCATTACACTAGGATATTTTAAACAAAGAAAATGTGTTACCAAAAATTTTATTATCAAAACAGCATCTAAGTTATTGTGTGTATATGCATGCACATACTCACAGGTGTGCGTGCATATATGCATCTGTACATCTTTGATCAAGAGGCTCAAAAGCTTAAATGAGAGTTGAAAAAATGAATACTTTTGAGAGCTTCTGAATTAAATAAAATGATAATTCAACATGGTGTAAAACTAACAAATTAGGACAATGATATAAAGTAGAGTCTCTATTTGAATTTATCGCTTATAACCTAATTTTATCATCCTGCCTCTACTCTCACTCACTGTTCATGATTTACATATGGAAGACTGACTAACAAGAAAAATGTTATCAAACATAGGAAATAAGTGGCTATTTCTGGCTCCCACAGATCTTTAGTCATAGTTCCAGATTTAAGCTTGTGGCAATCTTGCATATCCTTAAACGTTGGGAACATGAAAGAATTATTATTCTAATAGATACCATAGACACTCTATTTGAAAGATACTCACAGCCCTTTTCTTCTTTACCTTCCTCTATTGAGAAGCATTGAAACTGTTAAAATACATGGTTTCCCAACCTACACTGTAGTGAAGAGTGGCTATGTGACCAAGTTCTTACTAATAATACGTGAATGAAATTCACTGTGGATATCTTCTCTTTCCAAATTGAAAATGTAAACTCTCACATGAAGAAAGTTTTGTATTTTACCTTCTTCCTGCCTGGAATGTAAACATGAGCTCTGGATATGTAGCAGTCATTTTGTAACTAAAGGTCAAATAACATGCTAAAGATAGCAAAAAAGAAAGAGTACAGATCCATAACACATTGCTGAAGAGCTGTTTTAGCCCTGGCTACCTGTCTCCAGGTGAGCTTTATACAAGTAAACAAAAACATTATAGATTTAAGCAACTGTTTAAGAGCGCTTTCTGGGTCTGTTTTTTGTTTGGGGGTTCATTATTTGGGGTTTTGGTGGGAGGGGAAGGGTAACATAGTCCTAACTTTTACACTACTATTCCTGGGAGCAAAATAGGTGGCAGAAGTTCAGAAGACTTGAACAGCATAAATATATGTAAGAATCTTGGCAGACTTCCGATGCTGACAAAGATGAAGTAACAGGAACTGAATTTACTCTTTCACTGAAACAACTGGAAAAAAAAAACAAAAACAAAAACAGACAAACAAACAAACAAAAAACCCAACCCAGGTACTCACAGTCTAAGAAATATCAGTTTTCAGATACTGGACACCATTGATGCAGGACATTGATCTCTGAGAGAGGGAGAAAATATGAGGTTAGCCACAATGATTGCTCAAGCTTACTTTCTGGAGAAAGTTTCTAAGCCTCAGCACAGGAAAGAGAAACCAGAAGGAGCCTGGAGGTATCCTTGAGTTAGAGAGATGGAGCTGGGAGTCAAGGAATGGCAAAGTAGATACAGTTTAAGTGGAAGAATACTGGACAGCAGAGAGGTGCATACAGAGAGAACTCTGACAATCTCCAGAGTATTCCTCTCTAGTCTTCAGTTGAGTACCTACTAGGATATGCATATGAGGAGAACTGAAGCTGGGAAATAAGTCTTGCAGAAAGAAAAGAATCAATAATCTCCAAAGTTCACACAGGTTTAGGAATAACCCATATTTTCTTTTTTTTTTTTTTTTTTTCCTAAGACGGATTTTCACTCTGTCTCCCAGGCTGGAATGCAGTGGCCTGATCTCGGCTCACTATAACCTCTGCCTCCCGTGTTCAAGCGATTCTCCTGCCTCAGCCTCCCGAGTAGCTGGGACTGCAGGCATCCACCACCACTCCCGGCTAATTTTTTTTTTTTTTTAGTAGAGACGGGGTTTCACCGAGTTAGCCAGGATGGTCTCGATCTCCTGACCTTGTGATCCACCCGCCTCGGCCTCCCAAAGTGCTGGGATTACAGGCTTGAGCCATCGCGCCCGGCTTAACCCATATTTTCAACCAGTCAGAGTGGAAAGCTTTGTAATTCATGGGACATCAGATATACTCAAAAGAATACACCAAATTAGCCTTATATTAAGATTGTCTGGTCCCTACATTTTACAAAACTTACAAGCAAGCTTTGAAAGGATCAAATTGTTTCCAAATAACAAGTGAATCACAGAACAAAGCTCAAGAGTATCTAACACCCAACAAAATAAAATTCACAATATCTGCTATCTAATGGAGGGAAAGCATTCAAAAAAGCAGAAAATACAATCAATTATAATTAAAAAAAATAGAAACATATTAAGAAATGACACAGATGACAGAATTAATAGATAAGAACATTAAAACAGTCTTATAACTATTACAGATGCTAAAGAAGCTAGAGGAAAAATTGATCCAATTAGATAGAGACACAAAAGGTATATATAAAAAGGGCTCCAAATAAAACTTCTAGAATTGAAAACAATTGTGTGAAATAAAAAATACAGGCCAGGCACAATGGCTTACACCTGTAATCCCAGTACTTTGGGAGGCCGAGACAGGTGGATCACTTGATGTCAGGAGTTTGAGAACAGCCTGGCCAACATGGTGAAACCTTGCCTCTACTAAAAATATAAAAATTAGTCAGGCATGGTGGTGGGCAGCTGTAATCCCAACTACTCAGGAGGCTGAGGCAGGAGAATCACTTGAACCCAGGAGGCGTAGGCTGCAGTGAGCTGAGATGGCACCACCGCACTCCAGCCTGGGCGACAGAATGAGGCTCCATCTCAGGACAGAAAAACAAAAAGTACACCAGGCGGTACATCAGGTTAGACAATGCTGAAAGAAATATTGGAGACAAAGCAATAGAAAATATCCCAAATAAAATACAAAAAGATAAAAAAGAGACGAAAGATTAACAGAGCATCAGCAAGTTATAAGTCAACGTCAAGTGCCCTAACATATGTATCATTGGAATCCCTGATGAAGTGAAGCAGAAGAAAGAAGAGGAGATAAAAATAAAATTGGAAACGTACTGGCTAAAATATTTCCAAATTTGATAAAAATTATAAATTAATATATTCAAGCAACTTAGTGAACTCCAAACAAAGAAACATGAAGAAAAGTATGCTGAGCTGTAATATAGCCAAATTGCTTAAAATAAGTGATAAAAAGAACTTTAAAAATCAGCTAGAAGAAAAACTACACATTACATACATAACACTTTCTCTTAAAATTAACCCTATATTAAGATTGCTTGGTTCCAACATTTTACAAAGCTTACAAGCATTTTCTTAAAACTAGAAATCATGATACTAACACCTCAATGAGCAGAAAGGTTGCAGGAATGATGTGGTCTCATTAGGCTGTTTTGATGTAATTATGTCAACAAAAGCAGCAACAGCAAAAATGACAGATAATAAATAATGCTACCTCAGTACAACATATTTTCCTTGCATTATTCACTTAATCTATACAACAAACAATCTTACAGACCATGTAACTAAGGCTCAGGTGGATTAAATAACCTTACTGGTAAAAAATCTGTAATATTAACGGATATATATCTACTTCCTCTTTTAGTAAGTACAAACTATGAAAATGAGTGCCAGGTTTATCTTTCTAAGCTTCTGTACTCATTTCTGTGCACTACAGACATGGATGAAGAGTTACATATACGAATACTAGGGCCAACAATGAAAGTTATGTTTTGTTTTTCAATCCTAGGTCCACTTTATTTTTTTATTTGCTTCTTTTTCAGCAAATATTCCTATCATATTTGAATGCTATTGGTACCAGAAAATTTACTACTTGAAACTGTATCTAATATTTTACTATCACTTTTTGATTTAAATGTTTTTGAATAGTTTCACCAACAAATTATTTTTATAAAACTTACTGACCGTTTCTAGGATTCTAAAAGTCTGTAACTGTAACATGAGAATTTTCACATTTTTATGGCACATCTAGAAGCCATTGAAACTACAAAAAGAATGAATCAAAAGCATATTTTTAATCCCATAAAGGTAAACAAAAGACAACAGGAAAATGTTTATTTCTTCTTTAAAAAAGGGAAAAAAAATCAAAATGTAAGAGAATCATTCAGAGGCAATGAATTTGTACTTTAATCCTTAAAAATATAATACTAACAACTTTTTCATCTAAGATTATTTACTTGGGCAATTATGATATCCAAGTCATTCATTATGAGAAGCTGAGATAATCAAAGTATCCTGCTTTGAATTATTTGGCTGCCACAAAAAGTTAGTTGCTCAGTTAAAAAAAAAAAAAAAAAGATGTCTAATTTCTCACTAACATGACCTACAGGTTCAGGAACTGACAGTTAACATCTAGTCCTAAAAGTTCTGGCCAAGGTATAATGAGCTCCAAAAAGCAGAAAGCCCCAATTACCATGAGGCCAAGTCACTAGGTAACATCTTCAGAGGTAAAGGGCTCTGTTGTTTCTCTCACTACCCCAAATTATAAAGATAGGCTGAGTTCTTTTCTCAGCAACTGTCAGTAGCAAAGCTAGACATGCCTAATAAAAGAGGCTCTGAGAAATACCATACTAGTAAATTACTTATCTATAGGGAATTTAATTTTCTATCACTTGAGAGTGAAATCATTTTTTTAAATCATCTGCAAATTCTAGAGGGATTAATTTTTTTTTTTTCTTTTAAAACAGGGTCTCACTCTGTCTCCCAGGCTGAAGTGCAATGATGCAATCACAGCTCACTGCACCTTCTCTCCTGGACTCAAGTGATCCCCCCACCCCACCCCGCGCTTGGTCTCAACCTCCTGAGTAGGTGGGATGACAGGCACGCACTACCACAGTGGGTGGGCTATTTTCTTTTTTAATTATTTTTTGTTGAGATGAGGTTTCACCATGTTACCCAGGCTGGTTTCAAATTCCTGGGTTCAAGTGATCCTCCTGCCAAGGCTTCCCAAAGTGCTCGAATTACAGGGATGAGTCACCATGCCCGGCCAAGATTATATTCTTAAGCTCTTTCTAAATTCCTAAAGGGATAATTTTCAAACCATTCTCTCAATTTTAAAGTGTCATCAAGCATGACCTTGATGACATACAGAAAAGTAGCTTTTGTTTACACATTTCATATTAGCAATTTATAGCTTATATCTCTGGGGGATTTTTAATCAAAAAACATTAACTGAAGCTTGGTCATTGTATTAAGCTTTGAGATGTATTATCCTGCCTTACCTTATTGTCCACAGCAATGGCTGCTGTGCATTCAGTCCTTAGAAAATTCTCTAACTTCCTGTCCCTACATCAATTGCAAGGGAAAAGGAAATCTTCATCCTGGGTTTATATGGGGAAAGGTATAAGAAATTCCTTATTCACAGAAGATTTGTTTTAGTCCATTTTGTGATGCTTAATAGAATGCCACAGACTGAGTAACTTATAAACAATATATACTTCTTCTTATTCTAGACGTCAAGTTTAATACCAAAGTACCAGAATCTGGTGAGCATTCCTGCTGTATCATCCCATGGCAGGAAATAAAAGATCAAAAAAGCACACACATCCAAGAAAGATGGGAGGGGTTGGGAAAAGGGGAATGAACTCAACCTTTTCTTAGGAACCCACTCCCTTGGTAACCACATTAATCCATTCATGAGGTCAGAGACCTGATGACCCTGCTAATCACCTCTTAAAGGTCCCATCTCACAACACTGTTGCACTGGGGACTAAATTTCCAACACATAAACTTTGAGAGATGTATTCAAACCATGCATAGCAACGTTCCAATATTTTAAAGTTTTATTTATAATTTTGCTGCTTTAAAATTAGAAACAGCATTGCAAATGTTTTTAGTGGTACAAAGAAAGTGACAACAAAGTTGCTTGGCAGAAGAAATGATCCTTAGGCCAACAAACCTTATCTCTTCCTTTTTCATGTATCAATCCAGGGACTGGTATATTAGTCTGTTCTCACACTGCAAATAAAGACATACCTGAAAAAAAAAGAGGTTTGATTGACTCACAGTTCCACATGGCTGGGGAGGCCTGACAATCATGGCAGAAGGAGAAGGAGGAGCAAAGTCACATCTTACATGGTGGCAAGCAAGAGAGGATGTGAAGGGGAACTTCCCTTTATAAAACCATCAGATCTCATGAGACTTATTCACTATCATGATAACAACACAGGAAAGACCCACCCCTATGATTCAATTACCTCTCACTGGGTGCCTGTCACAACATATGGAAATTATGGGAGCTACAATTTAAAATGAGATTTTAGTGGGAACACAGCCAAACCATATCAACTGGGTTGGTTTTCCCACAGTAATAAAACTAGTTTGAAGCAGAATCTAAAGGCAATTCAAGTTTCTGAGCTAGAAGCCTCATACTGTTTCTCTTCTTCTGTTTTGTTTCAGATATGAATCCTGCTCTATAAAAAGGATGTTGAATATATATTTTATCATAGTAACAGCTGAACACTATATATTTCCAATAAAAAGCAACTGAAAACAATAACAGTCTAAATCTTGGTAAATCACAAGTTGAGAATCAAATCAAGAACTCAGTTCCTTTTACAAAACAAAAAGAAAGAAAAAATCACCTTAGAATATACTTAATCAAGGAGGTAAAATATCTCTACAAGGATAACTCAAAACACTGCTGAAAGAAATAGATGACACAAACAAATAAAAATCCATCCCATACTCATGGTTTAGAAGAATCAGTATCATGAAAATGTACATATGTCCCAAAGCAATCTACATATTCAGTGCAATTCCTTATCAAAATACCAACATCATTTTCCACAGAATTAGGAAAAAAATCCTAAAATTCACATGGAGTCAAAAAAGAACCCAAATAGCCAAGGCAATTCTAACCAAAAAGAACAAATCTAGAGGCATCACATTACCTGACTTCAAATTATAATACAAGGCTATAGTATCAAAACAGCACGATACTTGTATAAAAGCAGATGGATAGCCTAATGGAAGAGAATAGAAAACCAAGAAATAAAGCCAAATACTTACCGACAACTGATCCACAGGCATACGAAAACAAAAATTGGGGAAAGGACATCTTGTTTAATAAACGGTGCTGGGAAAACTGACTAGCCACATGTGGAAGAATGAAATTGGATCCCCATCTCTCACCATACACAAAACTGAACTTAAGATGAATTAAAGACTTAAATCTAATACCTAAACCATAAAAATGCTACAAGATAACCTAGGAAAAACTCTCTGCATGTTGGCCTAGGCAAAGAATTTATGACTAACACCTCAAAAGAAAATGTAACAAAAACAAAAATAAATAAAAGGAACCTAATTAAACTGAAGAATTTCTTCATAGCAAAAGAAGTAATCATCATAGTAAAAATGCTACAATTTACTCATGCTACTCATGCTGAAGAAGAAAAAATAATGAGAGGATGTGCAGTCTTCTACTTGGAGAATAAGACAGGTTTCTCTGAATGCTATGAAGAGGATTCATCTCTACTTTCAAGGACCAACTCAAGTCCTACCATCATGCTTTGCAGACAAAATTCACAACTCTTCCATGTTCTTTGTTTACTCCTCTATTATAACGATCACTATCCTGGCTCATTTTTCCATTTGTTGAATGAGTGGACTGGCTTCTCCCCTAGAGTGCAAGTTCCTTGAGGTTAGGACATGGTTCTCTTTTTACAATTTGTCCAAGAATCCCTATCATGGGCTTCTTGCCTACTAAGTAGTCAGTAAATGTGTGCTGAATTCAGCTAACGTGAATTTTACTGGAAGTTATTCTGTTGTTTTACTTACTACAAGTAGAAAAGCAAAGGAAAAAGAGTAAAAAATAATAATAACAGAAAAGAAAAGAGAGACCAGGGAATAGGAAAGGAGAGGAAAAGAGAAGATAGGAGAGACAAGAGGAGAGGGAAGAAGTAGTAAGGGAGGAGGAAGGGAAAAGGAAAGAAGGGAAATTAGGGCTACTAACGTCAAAAGGCATAATTACTTCTACATGACATTGCCAGCTAATATTTCTTTCCCTTTTATATCTTAGAGTAAAAGAGATTAGGCTTATCTCATGAAACTGACAAATCAAACAAAACAGAGCCTAATTTCACTTTTAATATACTTTACAAAAATCTAACATTTCATTTGAAGAATAAAAGGAGAAATCTCAAAGTTTAAATTAATGATAGTCTACATTAAAATCATCTACAATAAAAGTAATAAAACCACAAAATTTCAATTTTTATAATGTTTCTGTATTATTTCTATGTGTCTATTTTTCTATAGCTTTATATTTTACCTTTACCGCTTTATTAATATTCTTGTCTGATAACATCACATGGGAACATAGTCGGCCTGGGATTGGGTAGCTTCATTTGATAAGTTACATTGAAAGGCGATGGCTACCACATACCCAATGAGGCACTGTAGTTCCTTAGCAGGCTAGATTTAGGCATAGTTAGCACATGCCATCCTATTCACTTTGAGAATTCATGTTTAGAATCCTCGTAGAGTCTTAGAGAAATCAAACCCATATTGTGCTAGCCTCGTATAATGAGAAGAGGAAGAAATGATGGGAAGATGCAACAACCAGGCCACTGAAAATGAAATGAAATGACAGCAAATTAGCTGTTTTGAGGATTTGGGGATTTTTAAACGATCTACAATATTGGTTTCAATGAGTGAATTTGCTTTGTCTGAAAGGATTTTAGCAAAACGTGTTTTGATTGTAGTGATTAATAAATTAAAGCCAATATAAATCAGTTGTCTCCTAAATTCTCTAATCTCTATGAAATCAAGGAAGTCTTTATGTACAGACATACAGAAAAATCATTTGTCACCATTCACAAAAATATTAAGAAAATGGTTGTAACAATTACCTAAATTCCTAGCTTTCTTATTATCGATTCTGCTGTACATGGTTCTTTAAGACTTTAAGAGCGCATCATTTGTAATATCTTTTTTCCCTATAAGATGTTAAGAGTTTCAAAATGCCTCTAATCACCCCAGTACTTCCCTGACTCACCAATCTTGGCCTATTCTTCAGTGAGTGAGTCATGATGCTGGGGAAGAGTTCCTTGCCGAAACACAACAAACATTCTTCAGTTAACTGCTATTTACTGACCCACTGATGAATATTTGGGCAAGGACCTTGGTCAATGCTTTTCAAAGTTTAATGAACCTAAGAATCACCAGGGGTGCACATTAAAACTGTAGATTGCTGCCCCCTCATTCCAATTTACTGGGTCTGAAGTGGGGACTGGGAATTCACATTTTAAATAAGGATACCAAGTAAATCCCATGATAAGTCACTTGCAGACAAAACTCTGAAAGTGATGCTGACTTTGGAAGAGGAAAATGTTGAGGAACTCTTTAATACAGTGCAAAATGTCTATCAGAAGAATGATGAATTCAAAGGTTTAGTTGGAGGCACTTGACCTTTGAATCTGGAATAAGCTTTGCTGATGAAGGTAAGATAGCCAAAAAAGCAGCAGCAGATGAAAATTGTCATGAGCTCCCCTCCTCAGCGCCTTCTACATTTAGCCCTACAGACTAGCAGTACCCTCTTTCCATTCTCTATCATCCTCCATATTCACATAGCATCTGGACATATATCGAAGATTGTCATCACATAGATTTATAGTTGGGGACCAGATTTCAGTTCATGCTAGAAAAGTTGAAAGCATTATGGAAAATTGGCCTAGATAAAAAATAATTTGAAAACAAAAAGAAAGCATGAAGACAGAGAAAAAGCCTGAGCCTAGGGTGAGGCCAAGATCCTGAACACGCCAGTGAAGAATTAATGGAGAGGGAGGTAGAGAGGGCTTCGCTTTGCTGCTGTCAGTTGGACATTCCATCCAACTGCCCCTGAAGTACATTCCAGCCCACTGAGCATGCTCAGTTCATATGACTGACTTTCACTAAGTATAACAATCAACAAGTTCACCAGAAAGCCTTTCCCAACATCAGGACACTAAAGCGACCACAGAAAACCATTCCTGAATTTGTGATCAATGGACTCAAGTTTAGGGAGAGGAGCACCTTTGATCTACAACTATGGTTTGAATCCCAGTCTCTAATTACTTCTTTCCCAAATACTCTGGTAATCAAAGGGAAATATTTGGTGAGATGCAGCCATTTTGTTGGTTAGCAGGAGTTCAGACACAAGAAAATGTCATAGTGGTAGAATACAGTATCAACCTCAACAGCAAGCCCATCGCTGGAAGCTCCCAGACCATTGTGCCAATCAAGTGGAGGAGGCACTTTCGTTTAGAGAGGCTTATGTGAACCTTATATGAGAAACTTGCCAACCTGCCTGTTTGATTTTCTAGCCTTACTATTTCGAATACTTAGGTGCTATCTTTTAGAGACCCTGAAACAGCCAAGACATGACACCCAGTACAGAGGAATTCATAGGTAAGCATCATCAGATCCTGAGAAGTCAAGGCTCTTCCCTGTGTTATGTGTCTGTGGAATTATAGGCATATATGAGGTCTGGGGGTGGTGCGTCATTGTGGGAGGTCTGTACACCTCAAAGGATTTATGAAATGGTATGCAAAATACATAATAAAGTTATGCTGATTCTGAAGGATCAATAATAGACTGGAAGCCTAAGGGATGGTTGTGCTTTAAAATTTATAGTCTACCTGAGGAGAAAGTGGCTACATATCAAAGAAAGGCAGTTTGTTATTTAATTTTAAATACTAGAAGAGTCCTTTGGAAGTATTTCTCCCAATTTCCAGGTATGGTTGCCTTTCTGCTTTGCCAAAAAGATTGCCCTAAATGAGTATATTGTTTGGTTTGGAAATTCATGAGAAATCTTCATCTCCGAAAGCATTTCTCCTACCAACTTGCCATGTAGCTTGAAATTGCTCAATTCCTTTGACTCCATTTTTTTCCAGTTTTTGAGAGTGCTTTATTCCAAAACATATATTCATAGAAAATGCAAGTCAAACACATTTAGGTCATTGTCAGAAAACAGGACATGGGGATGGGACAAAAAGAGGGAGTCAGCAGGCACAGGAGAATAGATGGAGTTGAAGAGGGCATGGAAAAAGAAGATGGGAGAGGTACTGAGGGGAGGACGAGTGAAAAATAAACAGCTATGTTGCACCCCTGCCTTCTAATGCTCAAGTCAGGAGTGAGAAATTCACCTCATTGACACTTAGAGCTAAACCCTGCAAGAGATAATTTACAAGGCAATGCCCACTTGCCTAGAGGGATGAAGAGGAATCCAGCATCTTTTATCTTCCCTTTCACATTTGATTCAGGTTTAAAAAATAATAATAATAATTGAGTATCTGCTAGTTTCAATTATGTCATGGATATGAATAAAACAGTTCCTGCCGTGAAAGAGCTAGCAGTCAAGGGAGAGAGACAAAGAGAGAGAGAATAAATGAATGAATGAACTTTCTGTGTTGATTACAAAATAATTAATAGGAGGACATTTCAGCACATATTTTAATTCGTATTTTTCTGTACATTTTAGAGATGTTTGGGGATATTAACCTCACTCTTGGCATGCTGAACAAGGAAGATATTGTTAACAAGGTAGGGAATGTAGAAAAAATCTTTTTCCCTTTTTCAGTCTTGTTGTTGCAACATTTTGTATATATTTTTCTTTGCCTCAACTTTCTCATTTTTCTCTGGCGTGTCACATGGCATTCAATTTTTCAGTAAACACTGTTGTAATGAAAGTCATTGTAATGTTTAAGCAGTGATATTTAGCATTTCAAGAATCACAGTATCTATGTCTAGAAAATAGCAAAAAAAAAAAGTTCCTTTTTATAACTTTATATAGGCAGATGTTGAAAGGTGTATGTCAGACTTACAAACATGTGGATGAGACTGTTTCCTTTATAATTTGAGGGTTGTTACAAAAATCCCTAAAGCTCTTCCCTGCTCATCTATAATGCTATTTCACAGCTAGAAGTTTACCAAAGAATTGAAGATTTTTCACATTTCAACAACCTTCTGTAAAATAAAAGAAATAACTGCCCTTCATCGAACACTTACCTGGGAAGGAAAATGCTAGATATTTTCCAAACAACAGTGTATTGTATAATATTCACTCCCCAGAACAATTTTATCAGGTAGATATTGCTATTTCCATTTGATAACTGAGAAAAAATTAGGCACAGAGAAGTTACATGACTTGCTCAACTAAGAACAGAGGACTATATCCAAAAGCAAGTCCATCTGACTCTAAAAAAATGTTCCTAATCATTATTCAGTGTTGTCTCCTTGTGAAGGGCAGTGCCTATGCCTTTGTCTCTTAATTCAGTGGTTCTCAACCCTGACCACGTACTAGAATCCTTTAGAGAGTTTTGAGAAAATATCAACAGCCAGGCCCTACCACCAGGGATTCTTATTGGATCAGTCTGTGAAAATCTTGAGCATTTAAAGCTCCTGGAGGTGATCCAAATATTTAGGTATGGTTGAAAACCATTTCATTAATCTCTCAGTAGAAGTCACCTTTCCCAAAGAGCACTCTTTCTCAAACATTGGGAATCACTTGGAGAATAACCTCTGGATCCCAGAAGCACTGAAGGAGAATTTCCAGTAAAGAGATCAGAGAATATATGTTTTTAAGAAGCACTTCCTATTTATTTTATGGTGAGTCTAGTTAAAGAATAATAATAGCCAGCACAACCAAGAGGTTAAGGTGCCAGCTAAAATTCAGTCTGTTGGTTTCAAATTGTAGCATCAGTACGTAATACTAACTACATTAAGCTCCCTGAAGCTCAATTTCCTGACCTATAAAATGAATATATTTGTGGTACCTAACATAGGGACTTGTGAGTGTTAATAAAATGCTCCAGATAATGAGTCTGGCACAGTTCCAGGAATGTGGTGAGAGCTCCATAAATGTTAGCCTTGCCAAAGAACAAGGCCTGCAGACAGAAGAGTAAGCACATGGAGCAAGAAAAGACTCACAGAGATAGTTAGGCAGGCCCAGAAAATACAAGGAAGAAAGCAAAGAAAAATTATGCATTATTCTCAAACTTCCCAAGGACCAGCCCTGAGGAGTAATGCAAAGGATGCTATTTAACAACTTAAGCATGGGTGCAGTGGCTGGAGGTACATGTTGAAGCTGTTGGAGATTTCAGAACACCAGTCTCTTGTCTTCCAGAGGACACATAGCCACCTAAAAGATTTACAAGAGCCCTCACACAGGGCATCGAGTCAAGCCACACAACCGGAGGCCCTGTCTAAAAGGTTGTCCACAACTTTCTGTCTGCAGAGGCATGAATGAAACAAGGGCCTGTAAATGTCCCTTAGGATCCAGTTTCATAGTTTAGCAGCCTCTTGGGGAGTTACAGTGTGTTCCCTAGTACCATATCACTCCCTGGTAGTAAGGGCAGCAATCAGGCTGACAGGCATTTCCATTCCCCTGAGTGTCCCACAACAGTGATTTTCAAAAGACATGGAATGGCAGGTAGCCTATCCTGGTCTTCAATCAGATCTTGCCATAGAAATGTAGCCAAGTTAAAATAGTTTCTAGAATTAACTTTGCTCTGTAGCCTTTGACTCCTAAAGATGCATGTTATGTTCAGAAAGCCTCAATTAAGGCCAGGCACGGTGGCTCATGCCTGTAATCCCAGCACTTTGGGAGGCCAAAGCAAGTGGATCACCTGAGGTCAGGAGTTCGAGACCAGCCTAGCCAACATGGCAAAACCCCGTCTCTACTAAAAATACAAAAATTAGTCGGGCATGGTGGCACACACCTGTAGTCCTGGCTACTCAGGAGGCTGAGGAAGGAGAATCACTTGAACCCAGGAAGCGGAGGTTACAGTGAGCTGAGAACATGCCATTGCACTCTGACCTGGCCAAAATGAGTGAAACTCCACCTTTAAAAAAAAAAAAAGAAAGTCTTAATTAAGGCATATAATATGAAATTCATTGTGTAGTAAAGATAAATTGCTTACTTTAATGGTGTTATTCATTAGGACTTCATTTGATTCTTTAGTTTTGCAATCCAAATTTCTATGTATGCCTTTGTATGTTCACAGGAAGACATTTACAGTCATCTCACTTCTGTTATTCAGAATACTGACATCTTGGATGATGCAATTGTCCAACAGTTGATTTATTATGCTTCTAAGGACATGAGAGACAACAATGTAAGTTTGGTTCATGATGGTGAAAAGGGTCTTTAAGTGATCCAACTGCACCCATGTGGACTGTTCTACACTGTTGCCAGGACCACAAATCACTTGTATTTGTTCTTTGCAGTAACTTGGATATCCTTATAATGCCTGATATTTACTCCTTCACAGATGAGGAAACTGAGGCAAAGAGAAGAATTATTTTAGAGGTGATATTATCCAACCTCCTTTTAGAAGAGGAAGTTCACAATTAGAGATATATTTTTTTCAAAGGAACATAGCTGTCTATTGACAGAACTAGAAACCAATTTTCTTGGCTTCTTTATGACTTATTTTTTATGTACCTACTTATCTTAGATTGTCTGATAGACAACATAGCAAAAAATAATAATTTGTAGAAATAATTTGAATCCTAGGATGATGTTATCTCTTCCAGAAAGAAGAATTACTTGTTCCCGCCAATGGCACTAACAATTTATGATTGCTTTCAGGGCTTGAGATTTCTGGGTCACTTCTATAACTCAAAATTGGATTGTTATTCATGAGAACACCAATTTCACCTTTCATCTGAGCACAGCCCTTTGGTGTCTTAGCCCAAAAGACAAGAGGTGGGATGAGCAGAGTCTCACCACTGGTTGGCCCTGAACTCTGACTATTGCTTCAAAATGCAACAAAACAGTCTCAAATGCAGGGCTTATCTCTCTAGATCAATAATCATTTCCAGGCCTCAACTCAGTAATTCGTTCCAACCTATATTGTGAGTTTGCTGATGGCTTTATGAGTATATATTTTTATATCTTATCTGGGTCTTTTTTATTTTCCTCAGGAGGAGGAGTTGATCAAATTTACCTAGCTCACCATCACCAAAATCGGAAGTCTTTCCCAGTACCATCAATATTGGAGATAATTGGGCCAGATTAACACTGAAACCAAAGCTCTCAATTCCTAGCTCATTTCCTTTCACTTTTCCTTTCAGTCTTTCAACCACAGTAATTTGCATCACTTAAACATAAAATATAAGTCCTGTGTTCATGGTACCAGATCAACCAGCAAGAAAACAGCTACTGACCTCCAAGTTTACTAGAACTCTGTTAAAACCAGCATTTTCAACGTATTCAAATTACCCCTGCTTTCCCAGCTACTGACACCTACCAAGCGTTTCTCACTATGGTTTTGTAACAGCCTGTTCTCCCTTCGTCCCAACGCTAGAGTAGCTTATAAATAGTATGGCTGGATAGTAGAGAACGGGCTGCTAGAAAACCATGGTGAAAGATTCTTGGTAGGTGTCAGTTGCTGGGAAAGCAGAGGTAACTTGATTGCACTTTAAAAAACTAGTTTTAATAGTGTTCTTGCAGATTTGGGGGTCAGTAGACGTTTTCACAGACTCCAAAAGAAGGGAAGGTGGGAGGAATGGTGAGGGTCCACTAGAAGCCCAAATCTCACCATTACACAGTTGAACCATGTGGCCAACTGGCACATGTACCCCGTGAATCTGTAATTTTAAAAATAAATAAATACATACATAAATATTATGCTGACTAGTTCCCCTCCATAGACTCACTCTACCCCTTTTTTAGTTGTTATTGTTATTTTTCTTTTCCTCTTCAGATGCTCAGAGAAATCAGAATGCTAGCTGGTGAGGTTTTGGTGTCTCTTGCTGCACATGATTTCAACTCTGTGATGTATGAAGTACAAAGTAACTTCAGGATCTTAGAGCTACCAAATGAATTCGTTGTGCTTGCCCTGGCTGAATTGGCAACCAGCTATGGTATAGTGGGAATATTCTCCATGTTTTCCCTGGGAAATGACAACTGCTAATTGTCTAAAAGCTAAATGGGAGCAAATGGTAGAAGAGCTAGCATCTCTACCTTCTTCTGTACCAAGAGATATTGATAGAGGGATATGGGCAGCTATTTAAAATGAGCATGGACGATTCTGCTGCCCAGCCACTAGTCTAGACTGCTCTGAATTTGGCCACTCTCCCATCCTCACCTTCCCCTTCATCCAGCTTTGCATTTGCAGAAGCACATTTTCTGTAAGGTATATTCTACTAACCACTGAACACTTTCGTGAAATAGGGATCCCTATCATTTATTTCTACACTACTGTATTTAACAGATATTTAGGAATCATCTGTTATATATATTTACATATACTTGGGGGATACAGGGAAGATCTGGTGGGAGAGATTGACATTAACAAATTAATTATCCAACTAAGCAATTGCTGGCAGCATTGATGGTATAGTGGTGAGAATAGCTGCCTTCCAAATAAGCAACTGCCACTTAACAACAGGTACAAATGGCTGTGTAGCTAGAACCTTATTTTCAATCAGCCCCTCCTTGATTATCTAACTATAGCCTGGTATTAAAGTGGGGCAGAGATGGGGGAATTATAGAAACATCTTTCTACTACACCTCATCTGCCTCCTCCATGCAGCCCTGAAATGCTTCTTGTTGATTTGGAGTCACAGAACCCCGAATTTGAGAAGACAAATAACACCCCTCTCCTTTCTGCCCCTCACTGCAGTGTCCCAGAGTATTCCCTTCATGATGATGACCCTGCTCACCATGCAAACCATGCTCAGGCTGGCCGAGGATGAAAGGATGAAGGGGACTTTCTGTATTGGTGGGTATCCCGATGATTTTCTTTTTGCTTAAAACCAGACTGTGAACTGTCTTACAAATTAAGCAAAAGTCTTGTTTTCCCTTTAATTCCAATCTTGTCCTTTTGAATAATAATAGCTGCCACTTTTTGAGTGCCTACTACATGGAAAGTCCTCAGCAGGGGAGTTATCTCATTCAATCATCACAGCAATTCTGCAAGATTAGTACTATTTTCCCATTGTATAGAGGAGACACTGAGGTTCAAGGAAAGTAAGGAATTTTCCCAAAATGATGACATAGTCAATGAGATACAGAGGTGGCATTCAAACCCAGGTCTATGGGACCACCCAGTCTACACTCTTCACTGCCCTGTACAAACTTCTATTTCAACTGACCTCCTTCTCTAATTGGAGGATACTTTCTTGGCAATGATTGTCAGCACTTACCAGTTCTTAGCATAGGTTAAATGTTGGCATCTGATTATAATGCAATATTGTAATAATGAAAACGAAACAAAGTAACCAAACTACAAGCAATCGTAAAATCAAGAAAAACAGGCAAGCAAACTATGGTCACAAACTCCTCTATCTAAAACTGAAATTCGTCACAGAAATCAAGAGCCTACAGAGAAAAACGTGCCTTGGAATTCCTAGGAAGTAGTGTTTACAGTGTACAGGGAGGTTTCTTGGATGAGACTGGAGACCTGGTCTCTTGACTCTGCTCAGCCACTGAGCCACCAAGTGACCCTGCCCTTCTCTCAGTCCCAGTTTCAACTCCAAAAACATCAGAATAAGTGATTGCTACGTTCCCTTCCACTTCCAACATACCCTAACACTACTATTTTGTAATTTAAAAGCCCACACTGTCAGGAATGTCTTCTTTACTTATTAACAAAGGTTCTTCTATTCCATCTTTCCCATTTCTTCTTGTTCTGTCATCAAAGTAATATTTTTATCTCATATATATTGAGAACTTGCTGTGTGCCTGGGCACTGCCCTGGGTATTTTAAGATTACTATTTCATGCAGAGCACGGTGGCTCACGTCTGTAATCCCAGCACTTTGGGAGGCCGAGGTGGGCGGATCACAAGGTCGGGAGATGAGACCATCCTGGCTAACATGGTGAAACCCCATCTCTACTAAAAATACAAAAAATTAGTCAGGCATGGTGGCGGGCACCTGTAGTCCCAGCTACTCAGGAGGCTGAGGCAGGAGAATAGCGTGAACCTGGGAAGCGGAGCTTGCAGTGAGCCTTGATCGCACCACTGCACTCCAGCCTGGGCGACAGAGCGAGACTGTCTCAAAAAAAATAAATAAATAAAAAATAAAAATAAAAAGATTACTATTTCATTTAACTCTCACAGCAACCACATTAGATGGGTAGCATGTTTTTCACCATTTTACAAGTGAGAACATTGGACTTAGAAAGTTTCAAACAGCTTGCCTCAGGTCACACAGCCAGTACATGGCAGAGCTAAGACTGTCAACTATGACAGTCTGACTCAAGGACCTGTGCAACTATACTAGACTAACGTACTTTCAATATTTTTTACTATTCCTACTTATTATCATAGCTAACACTGTGTTCCTGCAAAAAAAAAACTTTGGAGCCTCTAACAGCATTTCTACATTTAATATTAACAACCAAGAATGTAAAATTAAATAAAACTGGAAATCCTCATGAACATTACTAAGGGAATTCTCTGTGTTATAAAATTATCTAAGCACCCTTTGGTCTTAAAGCAACTTTTTGCCTGACTGCAACTAAAGAAAAGGTATAAAAAATAACTATCCATCCAGCCAGCCATTCAGCCATCCATCCATTCATTCATACCTAGTCATTTGATCAATCAGCAAATTAGCAGACATTGTGCTGGCTGCTTCACATACCATGAACCAGCAAGACATCATCCCTTACTTCAGGTTGCTTACAAGTCAGTTAGAAACGCACACACACATGCACACATACACCAAGAAATAAATTATTAGAAAGTATAGCAGGAGATTCTCAAAGAAATTATAGGGAGTTTGGAGAGACCATGAATGAGCCAATAAATAGCCAGCTCTACTGCTATAACATGCTCAGGGTCTTTTCCAGGGTATTTTGTGAATGTGAGCAAAATAAGTAGCACACAAGGGCTGAAGAAAATAATATTATTATTTTATGTATTTCATGCAAATATATGTGGATTCATTGCCCAAATGGTATTTTGGCAGGCTTAGATTTCTTTTTAATTTTATTGAAGTAAAAGATAGACACAGAAGAGCATGCAAATCAGAAGTGTACATGTTGATGAGTTATTTCAAAGTGAAGTTGCCCATGTGGCCACCACTTAGGTCAAGAAGTGGGAGATTGTCAGAGCCCAGAAGCCCCCTCATGTTACCTTC